TGATAAGCTTACTTATATCGATGACCGTTGTCAGAGAAGTTTACTTAGATCGAAGACCTTGTCTGATTAGTTTACTTAGATCGATGAGCTTGGTCTAATGGGTTTACTTCGATCGATGAACTTGGTCTGATGAGTTTACTTAGATCGATGCAATTGGTCTGATGAGTTTACTTAGATTGATGTGCTTGGTCTGATGAGTTTACATAGTTCGATGAGCTTGGTATGATGTGATTATTTGGATCGATGAGCCTGCTCTATTGAGTTTCCTTAGATCGATGAGCTCGGTCTGATGAGTTTACGTAGATCTTTGAGTTCATTCTGATGAGTTTACCTAGATCGATGAGCTTGTTCTTTTGACTTTAGACTAGTTTATTAAGAGATTGTATAACTATACAAGTCAGGAAAGTCTAAAAGGCCAGGCATTTTTGTTAGGTCAGGGTTTTAAACAAAATGTTTGTAATTAAAGAAATTCGGCCTAAGAAAATACTTTTAAAAAACTTTTTCAATCACTATCTACAGGTGTATATTATACTGTACATACGAGTATGCTTTGCAGAGTTTAAGAATTTGTTTGATCCCCCCTTTAAGCTACTGACAAAGACATATTTTCATTAACGAGTCACTAAAATTTAACAATTACCTTGCAGCTCCTCTTCTATCTCCTCTTCATCTTCGCTAGAGGAAGCTAAGTAAGCTTGAAAATCCATGTCCAATAGCTCTTCCTTTTTAAACTTCCTATTGAATGTTGTAATTCTTTCATGATCGGTCTCATCCCAAGTGATCTCCACCTTTCACCAATGAATAAGAAAAAAAAAAAAAACACAAAAATGAAAAAGGCAACAGCCTAAACTTGGTAAAGAATATATATTGTTACTAGGGGTGTTTAACAGTAAGTTTAAAAAAATGCTAAAACAAATACACAAATGACAATTAATAAACAGTATCTTATTTGTGGAAACTATTTCTATTAACCTGTACCTTCCTCCTCTTAACACACTGCTACATGCAGGGTACTCCATTATGGGGAGTAAAAATTACTCAGTATGTGGATTAATTGTGGTAAAAAAAAAAAAAAAAGAAAAAAGAAAACTTAACATTGTTACAAATCAATGAAAACATGTTTTTCACCTGGAGTTCTAAGGTTACAGGAGGTCCACAAACTATATGAAATCTGTTGGTAAAGCAACACAATCTCAGTAAGGTCCATTTTCCAAAAATGATTAAAAGCCACTAATGAGAAAGACATCTATTAGAAAACCCCCATGATACACGAATTCATCTATAACATGATTGATCTGGTGATCAGCTCCTATACTCTATGCAGCCCTTATTCTCTCATAGGGTCCTGCTAGAGATTTTATCTTCTTCACAAGGTGGGTCTTACATCCTTTTTTCCCCCCTCAGGCCAATCTCCCCAGATGAGGACAACAAAATAGGCAACAATTTACCAACAGATCCTTAAAATTACTGCCACAGTCTCAGAAGTTCCAGCAAGTCACAGGATTCAGAATTACTCCTATTCTGATAATTAAGTCTGAGCTGATAACCACCAAACTGCTGCTAGAACTGGGACAGATATTGATAATACAGATCAGCTGGCTGGACAGGCTGGCCCTGGTCATTATTTTAGTCTTGAAAATAACATGACCTTACATTTTATGTGACTGAATATTTTAGACTTCACTTCATTGCGTAATGATGGGGTTTTACTATAGCCAGTAACAAATCAATGCCACATAGTGCCCACCACACCACAGCAGGTGGCAGATATAGCAGCTTTCTCTGCCAGGCCTGCTTCAGAAGAGCACAGTGGTTTGTCAAACAAGGCAGAAGAAAGCCAGTTTGGCTGCTACAGAATACAGCTGTGGGTAGAGGGTATAAAAAGCAGAGAGTAGGTAGCCAGCTAAGTAATCAACTACTTCAACAGACAGAAACCTTTTGGTTGGTTATTAAGCATTAATGTCACATCGAGAAGTCCTGGATTATTCCGGTTCAACTGTTTTTACAATTTTGAATAATATCTGCAGAAAAATGTTTTCCTACTTTAAATTTTTTCTGGTTTTGTCTATCTGTGATTTGAAGTAATCTGTTACTCCCCTCCCCCATTTCTCCAGGATATGAGTAACTGACATATTACTTGTGGAGTACATTAACATTAATAAAGCAAATGTACTTCACAGGGCCTAGTTTCCAAAGCCCTGTAGTTTCAGGTATAACCTAACTTTTTAAAATTACATATGGAAATGTTAAGCTTTTAAAATTACATATGGCCCTGTAGTTTCAGGTATAACCTAACTTTTTAAAATTACATATGGAAATGTTAAGCTTGCAAAAGACAGGAAACTTTCCCCAGGCTAAAATCTCTGTTGTAGATATAGAATTGTAACCCAGCAAAGTTGCTGGCTTTCAAGAACAGACATCCTTGGAGCAGGTTAACTTACTGATTGGTAAGTTAAGAAAGTTGCTTTATTGTTATGTAAAAATACTGAGGAAACTGCTGTAGGAAAACACAGTATTTGCTAAGAACAAGCTTTTGTTGGTAGATCAACTTAACTTTTTGCAAACTGCATTATGGAATGTCACTTTGCTATTTCACTGATGTTACCAGCTTCTATTGTTAAACTATACTTAGCCATAACTCCACCTATGTTCCTTTTCTGTAACTTTCTGGCCTGGAGAATAAATACTGAGACAGAACCCCAGTTCAGGGTTAATTTCCCAAGGATGAATGCCTCTCTCTTGAGGGTTCTGGGAAGTTAACCCCTTTGGGGTATCTCACTGCTCAGAAGAAATGGACTTTGAGTAATCCTTTGTGTTTCCGTCACCCAGGGGAGAGAGGTGACAAATCTGTGTGAGGACAAAGAGAGTGCGACATTACTTATTAAAGAACTTGGTTGAATAAGACAGTGTGGGAAAGACAGAAGAGAAAAAAGAAACATTAGCAGGTAACAGATTCAGGCTTAAATGTATAACAAAAATCTGGAAATAGATTCAAACAGATGTGATAGGTAAAAATGCAAACACACTTGTCTCTCATTTCTACTTGTACTTGTGCATTAAAATTCTGATACTTCCCATGTCTAAAGATGCTACAAGTAAATAATACAATAAATCTCTTCTTAAAGCAATAGAGTCCAGCTACACATTTTTTTTTCTTCCTTTTTGTCTTTTTTCGTGACCGGCAACGGATCGCAACCCTCAGTGTCGCGCCCGCACGGGACCGGGACCGGCCACGGGATCACAACCCTCGGTGCTGCTCCCGCACCTCGCTCAGCCAGTGAGCGGGAACCGGTCTGCACGTGGGATCCGAACCCTCGGTGGGAGCGCCGCCGCGCTTCCCAAGCGGCGCACTGCAGCAGTGCGCCACCGGGCCGGCCCAGCTACACATTTTTAAAAGTTAAAAAATACCGTTGATGTTCCCATTGCAGCAGATGTGAAATATTTTGGTTTATATGCTGTTAAATCTACTTCTGAGGCTACATCCTTGGGCTCATCATCAAAGGTAATATCATCTGGTATAAACCTAAGAACCAAAGAAAAAATAAATGTATTTAAACACAAGCTGCAGTGATAACCATAGTTTAGATTCTCATCTAATTGGCTACAGTTTATACACACATACCACATAAAAGTTTCTACAGAATGCATACGTAGAAGAGGCAATGTCAGAAATAACCTTGGCATAAAATTTCTGAAATTCATAGGCTATAAATCTCTAATTCCACTAAATTCGAGAAAATGCTGTGTAGGTAGAAACCCTGCATTAGGAGTCAGTTAATATGAGTCAGGTGCAAACACACGTGTGTCCCTCATGTTTCAAGAAGACCCAGATTCCTTATTGCACAGTCACTGGCCTGCTATATGATATTCTGAAGATCAAACAGAAATTATTAATGGGTAAATGTTCTGAAAACCAAGTATCATACACATGATGTGTCACTGAAAATAAGTAAAAGCTTAAGGTTAATTCTTCAAGACTAAAAAAGTCTTAACAGTACTATATTACAATTCTCATTTCACAAATAACTACCTGTTAAATGCTAATTAGCCACTGTAACTGTAATTGTAACTGTTCGACAATTTATAGGCATCAGGCTAAGGAATGGGAAAAAACAGTAAAGAGTTAATCTATGGTTTTGTAATTTATATAGGAGATTTTGTTTGCGCGCACACACACACACACACACACACACACACACACACACACACACAAAGCACGTACTGTATCTTCATCAAAAAAATTTTTTTTTTAACATTATTCTATTTATTTATTTATTGGTGGCTGGCTGGTACAGAGAACTGAACCCTTGACCTTGGTACTACAAGGCCATGTTCTAACTAACTGAGCAAACTGGCCAGCCCCCAAAATAATTTTTTAAGAGAAATGGATAATTAAGGTTCAAAAGTTTATATAATACCCTCTTCCACCTACACTTTTGCACAGACTTAGTTGAAGAAAAATAAATATCTGAGATCAATATTTACAAATGCTCTCCAATATGCTTGCTTTAATACATATTTTGGGGCAGATAAAAAAAGGTATCCTAAAATAACTGGATGGCAGCAGAACACTCAATTTTCTTTTCTGATCTTATGTACGACAAAATACAACAGGGAATGTGAATTTTTTCTGTGGTCACTGACCTTATTTTCTAGGCAAAGTCAGAGCTTACACTAACACTGCATGGAAATGTACCAAAAAGGAAACAAAGAACAAAACGATCCTGAAAAGAACAAGCTAACGTGAATTCATGATTCCCAAAGAGTTTGACATTTTAACAAATATTTGTTAGCTATTATTTAAACATTCAAAATAGGCACCTCCAGCTGAAATTGTTAACAGAAAACAGAAGGAAATAGTTTACCTAATGAGATCATGCCCTTCTTACTGTATATTTAAAGATGCTAAAATCTTACCCCAAATTATCAATTCAAACATTTTTTTTGTATTTTCCTACCAGTCTGAATATTTTTGAAGCAGAAAAGCCATAGTGACTATGAAATAATGAATCTTTTTCTGAAATATTTCATTTTTAGAACAAAGTCCCCAACAAACTTGTACCCAAAGAAGAGTTTTCTATGGAAAGTGTCACAGTAGAATGGTTTACTGTGTTTAAAAGGACAGGGCTAATGATAAAATGGTACTGTAGTTCAACTTTTTGTTTCCTTAGAACTGACATTCACAACCATCTAAAGTTTTTCAGCTCTGGGTCAGTGAAGCCTGAGCATGTGGTGAAAATAATGCCAGCAACACAATTCACTCACTGTAACAGCATTAGAGCAGCACATTCCAATAGAACTTTCTGTGATGATGGCAATGTTCTGTATTTGCTCTGTCCTAAACGTGACCATTAATTACTTGAAATGTATCTGATGTGAATAAGTACTAAATTTTAAATTTTACTTAATCTAACTAAATAAATTAAAATAGCCAGATGTAACTAGTGGCCACTGCATGGGACCGCACAGATCTAGAGGTACCAGTTTATTAGCAAATTCCTCTGCTCCCATCCCAATGCTCATTTTAAAGTTACTTCATCTGGATTCCAACCCTAAAAGAGAGCTGCAAAAAAAATCACTGCATTTAACCCATCATCTTAACAACACAGCCAACACATACACAAGGACATAAATGTAGGGATGATTCATACATAATACTATTAGCATTTTCTTGCTCCAGTTTTCTTTCTTATGAGTGATGTTTCATACAACACTGTTCACCCAAAAGAAAAAATCTTTAGAATATAAAACAGAAAGCACTGCCAGTTTTAACACATATTTTACATCTTATAATCCTGTTCTGCTATAAGACTAAATTGGTGAGACAAACAATGGATTACCTTAGATCTATGAAAGAACAACTACTTTCAAATTCCAGGCCATCACAATCCTCATAAATTTTACTGGCTGTTTCAGGAGAATCACAGTCTACTACTGCGTAATAGTACTTCAGTCGTTTGAATTGATAATCTCTCAATTTTTCTCTAGAGGTCCTAAAGGGGGAAAAACTCATTAAGCTTACTCATATAGGCACACAAAAATCTATCTCTATTTAAAAAATAAACATAATTGTTTCAAGAAATATATATTATAAGCTAGCTTTTGTTCCAAGCCATCTTCACTTCATGACCTTGCTGTTATAAACACTAAACACTTAAGCTCAATTTATTATTCTGACAAGGTACAGATTTTAGGTATTTGGAATGGAATTCAGTATCTAGTAAAGCAGAGTGTATAACATGTGTTTTAACTTTATTTCTTAGAATACTTATTTTACTGTTTTTCTACCACATATAGTCTTCTCAAGTAAAACCAACGGACAGGATCACTATTACGAAAGATGCTTTGAAAACATTCATTCTACTTACAAAAAAATTCCTAATCTTGCAATGTTTGCTCCAGACTGATGTGTTATCAAGTCTAAAAGGTTATAAGTTTAATCCCACTTAACTACAACATATTCTTTGAAGGTCATCATCTACGGTCTCTAACCACCAATCTATTTAACCACCATTTTTATTAACTGCACATATAGCTCCACCTAGTGGTTTAAAAACTATCTTAATTTTTTTTTAAAGTGCACTATAATGACAAAGAACTTTTTATCACTGTTTTATTTTTCTATTTAAACATCGAATAAGAAAAATTATATCACTTAAAGGTAGTTTCAATGCCACTTATATGGAAAGTAACATCTCAGAAAAAAAAGCAAAACTTACTAATTCTGAGCAATGAGGCTGAGAGAACTAATGCTTTCTTTTAAAGAAATTCTTTAAATAGAAAAGAACTAATGACGGTCTTATCATATAGACTAGACATAGTCTTGTTATAAGAAAAAGGATTCACTCTCACCAGGATTTGGTATTTTTTAAATCTTGGCTACTTTGAGAGTCAAGAAATGTCACTGTATTAATATGCATTATTTTGATAATACTGGGCCTAATATACATTTTTTTAACTGATACATGTTTTTGAGTTGTCTAAAATATGTAACTTATCAACAAGAAGATCTGAGTTTTTCTTACTAATTTGAGTTGTAAATAATAGGGTTTTTTTTTCCTTTTTGTCTTTTTTCTTACTAATTTGAGTTGTAAATAATAGGGTTTTTTTTTCCTTTTTGTCTTTTTTCTTACTAATTTGAGTTGTAAATAATAGGGTTTTTTTTTCCTTTTTGTCTTTTTTCTTACTAATTTGAGTTGTAAATAATAGGGTTTTTTTTTCCTTTTTGTCTTTTTTCTTACTAATTTGAGTTGTAAATAATAGGGTTTTTTTTTCCTTTTTGTCTTTTTTCTTACTAATTTGAGTTGTAAATAATAGGGTTTTTTTTTCCTTTTTGTCTTTTTTCTTACTAATTTGAGTTGTAAATAATAGGGTTTTTTTTTCCTTTTTGTCTAGGCCGGCCCAATAATAGGTTTTGATAAACAATTTTCAAATATATATGTAGTCACATCTATTGATTCTCTTTGTGTTTTTTTCCCCCCTTTTCCCAGTCTAGAAACTCCTACTGTCCGTAATCTAACACACAAAGTTAAACAAAATACAACTCTTTTTTAATTGTTTCTGTGGTTTAAGGTTTTTTTTTCTTTTGTTTCATCTGTAGTTTATTTTGGGCTATTACAAGGTGAAGATCTGAACTAAGTTCTCTATCCAAAGACTTGTCCACATGTCCCAAAACCATGTATACAAGAGGCTTATTTTGATCTAAACTACACGAACTCTCTCTACCTATTCCATTCTATAAATTTGTCCTATTCTCACCTAAACCTGTTAACTCTCCTAGCATCATAAAATGTTTAGATATTGTAACTTGTAAGGCTAGTCCCTTTATACTAGTGTGATTTCCCAAAAATTTATTAGCCATTCTCATGTGTTTATTCTTTTAGATGGTTACTGGTATTCTCTATCTTAACTTTCACTTGAAGTGAGACTGTGAAACCACACAAAGAGTGTAGAACTGACATCTTTAAATATTTAAACAGAATAATAATTGAGACTGTTTCAGGCATTGAACTAAATGCTTAATGTGAGCTATTTTTCACTTAATCTTTACAACCACCATAGGAAGTACTATTGTTACATTCACTTAAATGAGAACACACATTTGAGAGATTAACGGAGTGTCCAAGATCACAAAGCATCTATCAGAATGCAGGTCTGTCATAAAGTCAAGTCTGGATTTTTAATCATTATGCTGGCTCTCTTAAAATATGGTATCCCAAAATTTATGCAAGTTTTTCAAATTTATCAAGTGTTATCTTTTACTTCTTCTAGGTCATATGTGTTTACTAAGTAATTTCCAAGGATTTTACATGGTTTTGTTGCTAGTATAATCAGAATTATTTTCTTAATTGGTTAATGCTAGTAATAAGGAAGTCAGTCAATTTTTTTAAAAAAAATTATGCTATGCCTTGTCGCTTTAGTGAGTTTATATTTCTTTGGGATTTAAAAGTATACGCAATCATACAACCCATTAATAATAATAATTTTACCACCTCCTTTCTAACATTTATACCTGTTATATTAGTTTCATGCTCAACTGTATCAAACAATTTTACAGATAAATTATTTTCCCTAAAAGGAAAACTATGACTTAAAAAAAAAAAATCCTACTTAACTTAAATGTTTAGAAATATTTACTTCAAAATGAAATCATTCTCACCTTTACAGAAAATATGACACCTCCTTTAGGTTTAAATGAATTGAAAAGAGCCAGCAAATCTTTTGCCTTTAATCTATCCCAGTCCATGTTGCAAACTGCTAATCGATGTGTAACCTGAGAAATAAGAAAAATTAAATATTACGTAATATGTATTATTCCCAATGCTTAAGAAATAAAGATACTAAAAATGTGATGTCTTCTTTCTCCCAAGTTCTGAAATTATTAGTGTAGTAGTTATCTAAGTGGTTTCAATATGTAAAAGAAAACTTCAAATGATTCAAACAACAGTAAAGTCATCAACAGATAAGCACCTTCTTGTACTTTCTTTGTATTTCTTGAATCAGAACATGATCATGAGCTGATTTTTCAACTACCAAGTTTGTTAAGCTATTGTGCCACCCATGTATATGAGTAGGAAAGCTGAGTATGTTACCCTGTAGTATTTCTAGCAGGTGCAGTAAGAAGAGAAAAATAAACTACTAGCTAAAGAAGTATTTTCTAAAAATTTCATGTGACTTTAAATTATTTATGTAGAACTTTTTACTCATCTGCTTGGACATCTAATTTGCATAAATATATCCCATTTTGAGACATTTTCATCACAATCATCAAGAATATTATTTACCAGTAAGATTTTTCTCACTTAATCTAATGACATCAATCCAATCACCCATAAAAACTATTTGTATTGTGCTCTTCACAAATAATCTTATTTATGCAAAAGGTTACCTCATCGGCTCGAGGAGCATCTTTATCTAATTCTCTCCAAGCATGCTCAAAACTGGGTTCTTCTGGAAATAAATCTGCCATATCATCTTCATCTTCAGAACTTGTTTCTATGTTTCCTTTACCCCTTGCCAGATCAGGGCCACTGTCACTTTCATCATCACCCTCACTATCTTCATCTTCATCATCTTCACTTCCATCATCATCATCATCATCGGCTGAAGCTCTACCAACATCTGTAATTTCAACTTCAGTTTCTTCATCACCTGTTTCACTAACACTTTCTGAATCTTCCTCCAGAGAATCTTTGTCAAACATTTTACCATCTGTTGAGTGTTTATTACCACCACTGTCTCCCGTCATGAGTTGAACCACTGTAAAAAGGATAGAGAAATTAAGAAAATGTATACACTGAATCAAATTGAATCCAATTTTGACATCAAATCCCATAAAAATACAATTTCTAGGAAAGAGTAAAGGAAAATATAAATTCAGTAATAAGAAATCTTTACACATACCCAGATCATAAAAGTAGAACTATATTCATTCAATATTTATGGAGTTCCTGATATTAGCTAGGCACTCAATATACAATCATTGGCAAAAGAGAAGCAATCAATGTCCTCACCAAACTTCTAGTTGAGTGAAGAGAACAGATGAACAGATATCAATCAAGTAAAACCAACCAAATCAGTATACACACAAAAATGAAATTACAGCTAGGGTAAATGCCAAGAAGGAATGTTATATGATGTTCCAAGGGCACATAATACGGGTCTCTGAGTGAGTAATAACTGAGCCACTTGAAGGATGAAGGCGAGTTAAATAGGCAAAGAAAGACTACCAAGTAAGGGAAATTTGTTCCACCCAACAAGGAAAGCATCTGTAAAGATATGCTAACAGGAATAAGCTGGCAAGTATGTCTGGATTGCAGACAGCAACGATTCAAGTAACAAATGAAACTGAAGAGCTAGGTAAGGGCCACACTATCCAAAAACCATGTAGAATAGGAAGTCACTGATATGTTTTCAAAAGGAGGACATTATCAGATTTGCATATTAAGGAGATCACCTCGCCTGTATTGTAGAAAACTGACTGGAGGGGGTAAAAAGTAGATGTGAATAGAACAGTTAGATGGGTAGTACAGTACTCCAGGCAAGAAATAAAGGTAATACTGAGTTGGTGACAGGAGATGTAGAGAAGTGAATGGATTTCCGAGTCAGGAGGTAAAACCAATAGTAATCAGTGGCGGGGCTATTTGATTTGGGGAATAGGAGTTTTGGAAGTGCAAACATGAGTCCTAGCTTCTTGGCTTGCAGAGCTAGCTAGCTAGCTAGATGAATAGATAGATAAACAGGGAACACTGGAAGAAAACCAGTTTGGTAGAAGGAGATCATGAACTCAGTTTTGGATATGCTGAGTTTGAAGGGCCTTTGAGTCACCAAAGAAAATATCAAGGTTGTTGACTATATTAGTCTACAGCTCAGAGAAATCTTGGTTGGAGATTAAGATTTATGACTGCTGTTGACAAGAAAAGCTGTGACGTGACTGAGATCACCTATATATAGAAAGAAATAATAATTCTAACTTTTTTGCTAAATATTGAACTTTACAACTAGTTGTGTTATGGTTAGTTAAATATACCAAGAATGAAAGACTCTCCACTTAAATTGGGTAGTTTTAACCCTCACAACTCTGAAAGGGCACATTTCCTATTTCTAAAGCAATCACATGCTTCTATCGACTGGGTGCATGTATAGATATAACTTTTGTATTTTATTCTTCTTTAAGTTAGAGCTTATGTTTCTGTTTACTCACAGGCTCTAAGCTTGGAGAATTAAAAGCAAATCTTAAAGTTTAAGGCTTGGAATGGAACTGGAACTTAGTTTCTCTTGGTCCTATAATCTCACAATAGTTATTAATTGATGAAATATTTACCGAGTATCTACTATATAAAAAGCATTAAGCTACGGGAATGGAAAAAGAGATAATTTGTAACATGAGCTCAAGCCCTTGATGGGTTCATATACAAAAGGAAATTGTTTATTGGTTTATGAATCTCTGTTCTAAAGCACCACGCAGAGAGAAACATCTATATTTACCTGCAGAAAGGTCTTTATAATAAGGAAGGCTTCACAAAGATGCCATAAAACCTGAGAACTGAATCGAATAAAAAGGCACTTCATTAGGAGGGAAAGTGAGAAATGGGCTTTTATTTTAGTACCACAAGGAAATGGGGAGTAATAAAAAATAACTAGCCAGTAAACGTGAAAAGGACAAAAGAAGGCATTATCGTAAGTTCTGTGTATGGGATCAGAAAAACACAAAAGTGAAAGAAAGTTACTATGAGGCAAGCAGCAGAATTCACTTTAAAGCAACACACTCAGAAATAACACCTCGTGGTCCCAGCTCTATCTAGTACTGTAGCATTTCTCAAGCATCAGTCACTATTATACCATTTTCATGATTTTTGCACATCACTGACATTTTACATTAAACTGAATTTTTAAACAATTAACTTTGTTCTAAATAATATCCCTGAAGTCACAAAAGTTATATTTTAGTTACATTTTTTCCCTAAGATATTGAAATAATACTTAATTATTAATGTAAAAAAGCCTAAATATCATCTGAAATCTCACATATGACAATGGTATACATACCATGCTTTCAGTCATATAATAATAAATTGATGCATGGGATCCTTAAAGAGATTATTTAAATATTTTGACAACATGAAGTAGAAAGTATTTATTCATTCAATATATATCTGTTCAGAGCTCACAATAGTCTTAGAGATAATGTGGGATTGCAAAAATAAATAACTGATTCCATTCCTAGATGGTACTGCTGTAGAAGTGATTGGAAGCATTACTACTTATCCAGCTACTTTAATATTTCCCTCTAATTATAAGTGTAGAGAATGATCATTGCCAAAAAAAATTAAGATAATATGGTTTAATTAATAAAGATGACTAGTAATTTTTCATTCAGAGATAACTGGACTGTTATTTTGGTTTATAATTGCTTAACTATTTTTTTCACCACTAACTTTTTTTTTTTTGGTCCTTTTTGTGACCAGTAAGGGGATTGCCACCCTTGGCTTGGTGTTGCCCGCACCGCGCTCAGCCAGTGAGTGCACCGGCCATCCCTATATAGGATCCAAACCCGCGGTGGGAGCGCTACTGCACTCCCAAGTGCCGCACTCTCCCGGGTGCGCCATGGGGTCGGCCCCACACCACTAACTTTTTAAGTAGATGGTCATACTATTTATGTTATTTTGTAACCTATGAGGGTACTTCAAAAAGTTCATGGAAAAATAGAATTGAAAGGCAATACAAATTTTTCAATAAACTTTTTGAAGTACTCTTGTATTTTTAAAACTTTATATATCACAGACACGTTTTGATATATCATAACTTATTTAATCAATCCTTTAATGATTTAGGTTGCCATTTTTTTAAATTTAAAAATAATACTGCAACTCACAGTCTTTGCACACATGTCCAAGTATCTTCTTAAAATAAATTCTTAGGAGTGTGAGTGCTGGGCATGAACATTTTATAACAACACACTTTATAACAACACACAGTATCAAAACTGCAACTCCTCAAATCACCTTTACCTTAGAGCACTTAAAAAAAGTCCCTTACACACAAAAGTTGCTAGAATGATAACTGATGAATGAATAACAAAAAGGTTATATACAGAGTCTCTTAATCACACAGAAGTTGCTAGAATGATAACTGATGAATGAATAACAAAAAGGTTATATACAGAGTCTCTTAATCCTTATTTATATAAATAATGCCTTTTCTAGACTGTGGAACCAACATAAATTACTACAAGCAACATGGTGGGGTAGAAAGACTCAGAAGACTTGAGTTACAGTCTCAGTTCTATGTGTCCTTACATAAGTCACTTTACCCTTGTTTCCTAATATAGTCTCACTTCTCAAGGTTATTGAGAAAACTAAATGAGAAAAGACATGTAAAAAGATTTTGTAAAATCAATCCAAAGGATTATACAGACACGTTAGATCCAGTGCCCTAAATCAAGTGGAATTTAAAGGAGGCTAGACTAACTTAACCTCACAAATTCAGCATCAAATCAATCTTGCTGCTGGTCCCAGTCCAATATTCTTCTCTAATTTCAGTAACTGGATTTCTATCCCTTCTCCCTATACCTCATGAGATTTGCTGCCTGGTTCTACTGTCAATAAAATGGGATCCCACACCTGATTCCCTAGTCCCTGCTAGCTAAAATTCTTTCCACTGCCTCAGACTTCCTACTTTCCTGATGTGATCTCTGTTAAGACCTCTCTCTGCCCTTTCCTGATGCCTACCCTCCTTGACTCCCATAATCACAGCCAGTCTTTGTCTGGCTCATCTGAACCACCACCAATTTTCAGTTACAACATCAACTATCAGCAGCATCTACACTCAAAACTTCCTGCTGCTAGTGGTGACACAAAATTTTAATAAGCCTAGTAAATGCATAAACACAAACTAGAGCCAGACATTTCTCACCTAGTTCCAAAGAATTATTTCTAACTCTAATATCTATCCTCCCCTTCAAGACTTTATTATCTAATCAAATGGGATTACTGATCTCTTGTGAACATGACCAATCACCTCTGCTCAAAAAGTTCTATGTAGAATGTTCTGGTCCTCACACTTAATTTTTTCCAAACCCCAATCAAACTAGTGCATCCCCTATGAATTTTTCTCTGATTGCCAAATCTTGAGGGACTTCTTCCTCTGAATTTCCACAACCCTCTGCTAAACATATTTTACAGCACTCACTATTATTGTTTTGTATCATGGTTCTTTCTACTTTACATCTACACTGTCCAATATAGTAGCCAGTAGCCACATGTGACAACTGAGTACTTGAAAGATGGCTCATTTAACTTGAGATTAGTACAAAAATAAAATGTAAAATACATCACTTTTTTAATATTAATTATATATTAAAATAAATTTTTGATATATTGGGTTAAATACAATATATCATTGAACTTAATTTCACCTGTTTCCCTTCACTTTTTAACGTGGCTACTAGAAATCAAAATCATGTATTTCTACTGAATAGTGCTACTTTAGACCACAGTCACTTTTTTAATATTAATTATATATTAAAATAAATTTTTGATATATTGGGTTAAATACAATATATCATTAAACTTAATTTCACCTGTTTCCCTTCACTTTTTAACGCGGCTACTAGAAATCAAAATCATGTATTTCTACTGAATAGTGCTACTTTAGACCACAGTCACTCCACAGAGTTTAGCAGACTGCTATCTGCACAAAGACATCTACAAAGCAGCAAGAAGAGCTAAAATCAAGACCAACCTCTACTCATCATGCCATGCATCCTGCAAGGGGGTTCTGTCTGCTCAAGGGAAATGCATCTGTTGCTTCACTCAAAGGTGCTGTCCCCTCACCTAACTGTGTACCCTGGGAGCTCTATGTGTCCAAAGGGCATGCCTTTTTCTAATTTGCACAAAGGCATCATATAAGCTAGCAATAGCCCTGAGATGGGGGATCAGGAATCACTCATGTTCTATCTGCTACATACTAGTTACTAAGTTAACTGAATGAATTAATGAATGAGTATCCAACTCTACTTACTTTCTCAGACACATCTCTTCTTATCATGTGATAACATACAACACTTTATTTGGTTTAGACTATATAGTTTTCACTAATGCCCACCACATATCAAAATCATTGTTTAAGATGCAAATTTTCATGTCTGTCTTCTGGCATCAAATCAAAAATGAATAATCATTACATAATATTTTTTCTTTCATAACTTTATATTTCTAAATAAGCATTTGACTATTCCCAATATATTATGAAAATACTTATTAACATATGTTTCCTTTTTTTAAAGGTTCAGTATAAAAATAAGTAATGCAACACCAAAGAATCCCTAATTCTTCCCAACCAACCTGATTGCATTTCTCTTCTTGTCTTAGAACACCCAACCTTGGGCAACTTCACAGTTTCAAAGGTGTCAGAGTCTACTGTCCTTAGTTTTCCTTTGGGAAAAGAGTTTGTACTATGCTGAACAAGTGTTTTCTCTTTTGTATTTTTTTGTATAAATTCTTCACTATCCTTCTTGGGACTTATTTTTGAACCTATCTTCTTAGATGCACACAAGTTTTTCATTTTCTGAATACTTTCAGAATTATCTAAATCATTTTTATTTCCAGAATCCTTTTGATTAATGCTATTGGTTTCTTTCTTTTTCTCCTCAATCAAATTTTTTGAATTTGTTTCTTTTTTAGTCTGGGTTTTTTTCTTCTGTATTTTCTTTTGGTTCAATGCTTTGCTATCTTCATTGGAAAGATCAGAATCAGAATCCGAAAGGTCATAGAAACGTTTCAAGTCCTCTGTAGTGCTGTGGGTGATGGGGCGCCCTCTTTTGTCCACGGCATAGTTCAATTTGAACTTTTTGTCATGAAACATGGCTCGAAATCTCTTGTCAATTTTGACTTTTCGTTCCTTTTCTGGCATTTCCCAAAATCTTGGGTCCTTTGCAACCCGCCTAAACCGCTGATCACTCATTATTTCTTGTTTGGATGACATCTTTAAACGCCTTACTGAACAAACACTCGAAGAAACCAAATACTAAAAAATCAAAGAGATGTAACAATAATGAAGAGTTAGTAATATAATTAAATTTTTTTTAAAAAAACATCAATTTGCAATATTTCCTAATTTAAGTGTACATAAAATGAAGGTAACAATTTAATTTCATCTCCCAACTTATTCTGAGTCACATGCAGAGAAGTAAAAACATCAAAATAACCTCTTTCCATTACAGATCATTTGGTGAAATAAATTTAAGGCAAGCCAAGCAGAATCCCAGGGCTTTATATAGGGGGAAGAACGTTTACTTGCACTCATATCTGTATGTGTTACAAATTAAAAGCTAATGTAATTAAAAGATTCCCAAGCCTCAGTTGGTATCATTTGTTTCTTCACATTCTGGCCCCATTCTGTTAGTCCTTACCTCTAATACTACTGCCAACAGTCTTTAGTTCTACAAGGCTACTTTCCTAACCAAATAGATCAAAATCAATTCAGGTTTAGCTCGCAAAGTTCCCTCTTTAATTCTGACCATCCTTCAAGAACTTGGTAGTCTTTCTCCAGTTAGTAAATATCACTTTCTATAATTTACATTATAAGTGACTAGAATGGGCTGATCCCCAAAACAGAATATACATATATGTGTGTATAAATTAGTATCGTTCCCTTGTAAATAGTCCCTAACGGTTTAGCATCCCCGGATTTAAATTTTGCAAAGAGCCAAGTCACTGATTATCAGGAGCAAACCTGGACTCATCAAACAACGCGGCATTGCTTTATTTCAAAAGCAGCGCCTGACTATAAAGCTGTATTTCTCTTAGATTTGAAAACAACTTTTTGCACACTAAGCAGGAAAAATCAAAGGTTTTATTGATGCTTTTATGCGCTTTGGGTGTATGACAGCACTTAATCCTCTGAAGAGCCTTACGAAGTACATACCACCTCATTCAACTAGTAGAGGTAATGCATGTATATGTTTAGAACGAAAGCACTCGATAAAGGTCAGATATTCGAAATGATGGGAAAGCGACCCGACTCATTCATCTCCGACGCACGCCCTCATCCCTGTAACACACCTCCCCTCTACCCACCCTCTAAATGCAGGGAACACCAAGCTGGGCCAAAAACGAGGATCTCCTATCCACCACCCGAACGTCAGGGCTGAGGTCCTCCGTGAAGGGACCCTGAAAAGGACCGAGTAAGCCTGAAGAATGAGGCCAGCCCTCACGAATCCGAAACCGACCCTGTCAGAGATTGGTTCTACCCCTTCTAGAGCCCCTTTACTCGAACTCATGGCCACTCACCGTCCCTGATCCCTCTCCGGGCCTCACGTGAGGGCGCACACCCACAATCCTCTGCGTGACGCTCCGCCGTAATGGCACGCGAGCTGGGCCAAACTACTTCCACTCTTTCCTCTGAGAAGATCTCTGTGGAAGTTACCGCAGCCACGCCGGCGCATGCGCACTACAAAACGCGCCGGCGAGGGCTGTCGCCGCTAGGGATGCTGCGGCAGGCGGGGCTGTGGCGCCTGTGGCGGCGACCTGGGGCGGCGGGGGTCCCGGCGAAGAATCTTGGCCGCAGGGAGGTTGCCTCTCGTGTCTCTCTCCCCGGAGGCACCTCGCCCAGAACCCTGAATATCTTTGACCGGGATTTGAAGAGGAAACAGAAAAACTGGGCGGCCCGGCAGCCTGAGGCGATGAAGTTTGACTACCTGAAGGAGGAGGTGAGACCGCAGGACAGCGGCGGAGGGCGGCGCCGAGCCTTGTCTTTGGGTCCGGGAGCTCGGGCTGGGTCTCGACCTACCCCACCTCGCCGTGTGACCTTGAGCAGCAATCTTGCCTCTCTGGGCCTCTGCTGATCACGCAAGGGCAGGGCTTGGATGTTTGTAATGTGCTCTTCATCAGTCACGCATTCAGCAAATAGTGCCTGAGTTACAGCTATGTCGGGGGCAAAGCAAGACGGCTGCTCTCGTGGGCTTTCATTTGGTGGGGAGGGAGGATAGCCTGGCAGTAGACAAATGTAATTTTAGTTAAAGAAGTAAGATGAGGGAAATAAAGTGAAGTGGTATAGTGACTGCGATGGTCAGGAAAGGGCTCTCGGGCAGACGACAGGATGGGGTATTAGCCCAACTGGAATCTGGAGGGGAAAGCTTCACAGGCAAAAGGAAAGACAAGTGCAAAGCCTCGGGGGCTGAAAGGACCTTGTGGAGGCTTCTAGGGAAGCTCCATCATGAAGTGAAGTGAGAGTGGGAGAGGAGGTCAGGAGGGCTCACGTCTGTAGGCTTACAGGGTAAGGACTTTGAATTTTCTTCTCTGTCTACGCTGTCCATCCGGTATGGTAACCGCTGGCCACGTGTGGCTACTGAGCACTTGAAATGTGGCTAGTCAAGTTAAGATGTGTTTTAAGAGTAAATACATTTCAGTGGCTTAATATGAAAAAAGGATGTAAAGTACCTCATTAATAGTTCTTATATTGCTTACATGTTGAAATGATATTTTTGAAAAACTGGGTTAAATAAAATGTTAAAACTAATTTCTCTTGTTTTTACTTTTTAAAAAAAAAATTGGCTACTAGAAAATTTAAAATTATATGTATGGCTCTCATTATTTTTGGACAGCACTGATGTAGAGGAATCTGAGGCTCTTGAATGGTTTTAAGCAGTGGAGTGATATGATCTGATTTATGTTTTAGGAAAATCAAATTAAGATCTCTGATTTGTCTATGCTAGTTGAATAGACCTCTTCCTCTCTGCCCAGGAGGACTAAGGACTGAGGGTTTCTACTCTCAAGATGCACAGCTCAGGCCTCAGTAAAGGTTTCTTGAGGGCTGAAGCAAAATTGAAGTCAAGTATAGTGAGCTCTTTCAAGCCAGTACAACATTTATTGAGCTCCTACTTTGAGCACAGCTCTGTGCAAGCACTGGCCTGATCAGATGATTGACAATGTGTCTGTTCTCAGGAATCCTCACATGAGACAACTGCTCAGAGTTTTACATTAGAGAGAAAAAGTCAACTATAAATCAATTTTCCACATCCCATCTGTAAGGCACGGTGTACATACTACACTGATCCTACTGGTTTCCTCTTGAAGGGTTCATAATGGCATGTACTTAAAAGATGTGCGTTGCTAGCCCCTCTTCTCCTAGAAGAGCACCTGGGTTACAGACTGAGGCCTCACCAATGGGCAGGACTAGACTAAATGAGATAAAGTATATGCGGTCTTTTTATAATAAACAAAAGGTATTCATATGAAGAATGACATGCAAAGCAGACTGCTTTGGGAAAAGATTTCTGCTCTACCTCCTCGTTTGCCACTCTTCCCCCCAAAAAGCAAATACACCTATGTTCCAAAATTTCAAGTCCTAACAGCAACTCTGGGATGTTTATGTAGGGGATAAGTGGAATATGTGTGTATATATATATAACTTAAGAATATTTAGTCTTGATGTCGTTAAATTGACTTCTGAAGTAATTTGCCTCAATTTTTTTCCTGGGATACTTTAATTTATTATGTTCCTATTCAGGATTTGAAAAGAAAGTTGCTTTGGTAGAATAGAAAAAGTGTTAAAGGGAATTATTTATAATACTTATCATGATGGTGAAACATAAGTAATCTATGAACTTGCTGAATACTGGAAAAAGTGTTATTTCTCTGTTAAACCTACTCCTCTTAACGTGTATACATCATTGTGTCTTATAATCCTTCAGGTTGGAAGTCGGATTGCAGACCGTATATATGACATAGCCAGGTAAGTGATGGTTATCATAATAAAATACAATCAACTTTTTTTTTTTTTTCTAAAAGATGACCGGTAAGGGGCTCTTAACCCTTGACTTGGTGTTGTCAGCACCATGCTCACCCAGTGAGCTAACCGGCCATCCCTATATGGAATCCAAACCCATGGCCTTGGTGTTATCAGCACCACACTCTCCTGAGTGAGCCACGGGCCGGCCCTACAATCAACTTTTGAGTGGACATTCAGGAGATTAAATGCTGAGAGCGTGAAATCTGGATTGGCAGAATCTGGAGGAATTTATCACCAGGATTGGGGGTTTGAATCACTCTATAGGTCTCTCCTTTTTCTCGTCTGGGAGAGCAAGTGTTCTTTTCTTCATTGTTGCCTTAAAAAAATAAATAAGTAAATAAATGGAAGCACAACTCGTACAACTCTCCAAGCCTGAGTGACTGATCCACTTGATTTAGCCAGAAGCCAGTAATGGAAAGATTGCACCAAAAGTGGAGATAAAGAATTGACTACGTGTGAATTTTCAAGATTTACTAAACCTAGGTTTAAAAGTCTAGCAACATTAACAATAGAATCTTTAACCATCTATGTGAAGGAGAAAGTCTACCCGAATTTGTTCCCCAATTAGATTATATGAGACTTTGGTCATTGTATCTTAAGCATTGTTAATGGTAATAAGGGCTCTATGACAACTGTGTAGAGGCTGACTTGAGAAAAGAACACTTCCATTAAGTATTATAGAAACCTTCATGGATTCATTGCTCTATATGTTAGCCATAATGAAAGCCTTATAGGTTGAAGGTTTACAGCCATGTGGTGGAAACTAAAGTCAAATAATGTCTTTGCAGTAGAATTTACTCTGTGATATTAGCAAATCACTCTTTTTGTGCTCTTTGTTTAAAAGACAACCATTAAAGTAAACCAAGATGGGATGAATTTATTACATTTGCCTATAAAAAAGGGAATTTTGTAAAGTCACAAACTTTTACCATCATATATTAGATACATCCTTGCTCCTTAAAAGAGTCTTGTGATGGGCCGGCCCGGTGGCGCACTGGAGAGTGTGCCGCTTGGGAGTGTGGCGGCGCTCCCGC